ACTGGACTCGGCCCAACCTCCAGTGGGGCCACAACTCCATCCAGCCCTGGATCCGGCCCAACCTCCAGTGGGGCCACAACTCCATCCAGCACTGGGTCTGGCCCAACCTCCAGTGGGACCAGCATGTCCATTAGCACTGAATCCGGCCCAACCTCCAGTGGGGCCATCACTCCCTCCAGCACTGGATCCATCCCAAACTCTAGTGAGGCCACCACTCCATCCAGCACTGGGTCCGGCCAAACCTCCAGTGAGGCCATCATGTCCATCAGCACTGAATCTGGCCCAGCCCCCAGTGGAGTCACCACTCCATCCAGCACTGGGTCTGGCCCAACCTCCAGTGGAGCCATTACTCCATCCAGCACTGGATCTGGCCCAACCTTCAGTAGGGCCAGCACACTGGTCAACACTGAATCCATCCCAACTTCTAGTGGGGCCAGCACACACAGCAGCACTGGGTATGACCCAACTTCCAGTGGGTCTGTCACTCCATCCAGCACTGGATCTGGTCCTTTATCCAGCCCAACTTCTAGTTGGTCCAATATACCAGTCAGCACTGCATCCAGCACAACTTCCATTGGGGCCAGCATATCATTCAACACTGTGTCTGGTGTAACCTCCAGTGAGGCCAGTACATTGGTCATCATTGCATCTGGCCCTACTTCCAATGGCACCAGTACAACTGTCAGCGTTGGGTATGGCACAACGCCCAGTGGGGCCAGCACACCTCCTGATGCTGTATCCAGTACAACTTCCAGTGGATTGAGCACAGCTGCTATCACTGGCTCCAGTGCAACACCCAGTTGGATCAGCACTCATGTCAGTAGTGGATCAAGCACAGCCTCCAGTATGACTAGAACCCCTGTTAGCACTGGATCCAGCCCAACATCCAGTTGGACCAGTGCAGACTCCAATATTAGTTCTCTTGTGACCTTTGGAGGAACCAACATACCTGTCAACACTGGGGCCACTATCACCTCTGGTAGAACCATTATAGCCTCCAGTACTGACCACAGCGTGACTGCTAAGAGCACCAGCACCAGTGCAGTCTCTCACACTGGATCCAGCATGACTTCCAGAGGAACCAGCACAAGGGTTAGCACTGAATCTGGGGCAATCTCCAGTGGGACCAGTGCAGCCTCCAGTGGGATGAGCACACCTGTCAGCAGTGGATCCAGTGCCCTCTCTATAGGGACTACCCTACCTGCCCACCCTGGAACTGGCATGACCCCCGGTGGGTCTCGCCCAGTTGCCAGCATGGGATCCCCCACAAGCACACATGGCTCTGTGATCCCCTCCACTGGGATGTCCACAGCTTCCAGGAGTACTGGCACAAGTACTCTGGTGAATGAACCGAAGCCTGCTGGGTCCCTGATGCCATGGGAGATCTTTCTCATCACTCTGGTGTCTGTTGTAGCGATTGTGGTATTCTTTGCTGGGATGTTCTTTGGTGTGGTGAGTACCTCATATGTGGGAAAGGGCCTGGGAAAGGAACAGCAGGAATATAAGGGTAGGAATACCCTTATAGGGGCGTCAAGTTAGGGTGGGAAGGGAGGGTCAGGAGAGGTTTACTAAAGAGAAATCATAAGTTCAAACCATGAGAGACAATTAGTGTGCAAAGAAACTATTGGCTTATGGGATATGGTAGGCAAAATAGGAATAGAGACTACTTCAGAGTACTAGATGAGAGATGATCTGAAGGGGGAGAAGATTCCAGAAAGAGTTCTTGGAGAAGACTTGGGCAAAGGGGCTACAATTCTAAAATTATTCATCCTTCTTTTCCTAGAGAAAATCCTTGGCCCGGAGGAATGTTTTTAACACAGCTGTCTACCGTCCCCATGGGCCCAGCCTTGGCGAGACTCACAGAGTCTACCACAGGCCCCGATGGAGTCCTGGAAGGCTCTGGATGAGATCAGTATCCCTAAGAGCCATGGAGATGAGAGGGAAAAACTACCAACCCTGAGTGACACTGAATTGAGATTACCACATTCCTCATGGGGAAGGTGACAAAAAGGCCAGAGACCTGAGCATTCTCTCATTCACCTGTGGAACCCTCTCCCAGCTTGCGTTGGTCTCTCACAGCCTTGGGAAGCCCCTTCCTCCCTCTTGCTTTTACCAGACACTGGAAAGAGGATTCAATTGGTCATTTAGTTAAAAAATAAACAAATCCAAAATATATGAGCATTAACGTGTGTGTATGACACAAGCTATGCAACGTCTATTGACTGACAGATTCTGGATAGATTGGGAAAAGCTCTGAAAAATCAGAATTTCCACTGCTAACTTATGTTATGACCTCCCTTTTTTGTATAATCATAATATCAAAGTATTCTGAGCAACATTCAGTTTACAACTGGATTGTCTTAGCCTCACAAGGCAGCTGCCTGGTTCAGGAAAGCTGCCCCAGAGCGAGAAATCCCTTTTTCTCCTGAGACAAGAGGCAAGCCCCAGGAGAGATAAGACCCCAGGGCATAAAAACTCCTGGGAAGCCTCCATGGTTTCTTTGAATAAAAAGCAAACCTCAGATAAGACTCCCAGGGCATAAGGACTCATGGACAAATTTTTTTTTTAAAGATTTATTTATTTGTACATACAGAACTGGGGTACAGGCCAGAGGCTCAGGGGCGATGAGAGGCTTCACCAGAGACAGAGAGGGGAGCAGAACAGGCAGATCCACGAAGTACACTGCTGAGGGGAGCAGCGGGTGGGTCAGGAGAGGTCTACCGCACCATGTGGTCACCTGCAGGGCAGGTGGGAATCGAACTCATGCAGAAGTGGCTTTAGCTTCTCAGTGCAGTGCTTTAACCCACTGCGCCACCAGGGAGGGCCGTCATGGACAAATTTTAACCTTGACTACACAGGTGTTGTTTGATACACAACTGTATGACTTTTTCTTAATTTACTCCTTTTTAAAACAAGTACTGGATGCTCTCTGCTGGCCTTGGATTAGCCATTAGCTTTTCTTTGGACAATCACTGATAACACTGCTAACACAATTTATTACCACTCCAAGACCCCTAATAACCTTTTACTAATGAGCTCATCCCTTCCCAGACCCCTCTTCCTTTGAGTGATAACCAAACAGCTGTCACATGATAACTATCACGAAAATGTATAATCTAGTGTACCATAGTATGTTAAGAGAGGAATGCTTTGTTCCCCTTATCCTTGAGAACGTGTTATGGTGACCTCTACACAGTATAAATAAAGACTTGCTGAGGGAATGGCAGGAAGACTTACACCCGACCTTGACTCCTGTGTCTTCCTCGCTCCCGCTCCTCTCTCACCTTTCAGAATCTCCGCTCACCGACACCTTTCCACCTTAGGCCCTGCCTGTCTTGCTTCTGGACACCTCGATAGTTGGAGCTGGTCTCCAACATAAGTGGGTATATTCAATGTTGAGTTATATTCAAACTTACATAAGAGAACACCCATGCCAGAATCCATTTGACATTCAAATCTCCACAGTAATATCCCAGGACCTAATTCACATCTCTGCATTTTCTAAACTGTCTTGCCCCAAGCAGGACCTCTGTTTTCCACAAAACTCTCTAAGGTTGATGGGTAAATTGAATTTGGAGAGATGACAAGGGTGGGTAGCTGCCAGAATTCTGCAGGCTCACTCATGAGGCCAGTGGACCAAGCGACGGGGAGGTGGTGTGTGAGGCAGGCACGTTCACTCCTATTTAGTTTCCTTTGCTCCACACCTGGGCTAAGCATCAAAATGAAGGTGCCAGTTAATACTTTTTCTTCCTCAGAGTTCTCTGTTTAGAAGCAGAGAGAAAATGCTTCCTGTTCTAACAAAGCAAAGCCTGTTGGCTTGCAAAGGTCCAATATTTCAAGAGGCTCATGGTGGAGACATCTGGGGCGAAGCCTGAGATTCTGATAAATCCGCTCCCCCGCCTCAAGTGCTGCACTGGGGTGATGACTACCCAGCCCTGTAGGTACTGGACGACAGAGGAGAGCTGCTTTGGAAGGCTGCGTTGCTCCAGGTCAACAAAGCAGTGGCAGAAAAAGAAAATAAATCAGAGCAGATAAATTAAATGGAGACCAAGAAGTTAACAGGAAAGATCAACAGAACTAATGGTTGATTCTGAGAAAAGATAAACAAAATCGACAATTCTTTAGCCAGACTAAGAAAACAAAAGAACCCAAATGAAATAAAAAATGAAAGAGATGTTACAACTGATTCTGCAGAAATACAAAGGATCCTAAGAGACTACAATGAAAAGTTATACTCCATCACATTTGACAACTTAGAAGAAATGGATAAATTCCTAGAAATATGTAATATACCAAGACTGCATCATGATGAAATAGAAAATATGAACATATGACTAAATCAATAATCAAAAACTTCTCCCCAAACAAAATCTAGGACCAGGTGGCTTCTCTGGTGAATTTTATCAAATGTTCAAAGAATTAATACCAATCCTTGTCAAACTCCTCCAAAAATAGAGGAGAGGAGGGGATGCTTTCAACTCATTTTATGAGATCAATGTTAATCTGATTCAAAAATCAAACAAAAGCGTCACAAGAGAAGAAAATTACAGGCTAATCCTTGGTGAAACTAACTGCAAAAGTCAACTTGTGGTCAGGAAATGGAATTCAATAATGCAGTGAGAGAATCATAAACCATAATCCAGCGGGATTTATTCGAGGGATGCAATGATAATTCAACAGCTACATGAAAAGGTATTGAACTTATTAGTTATTAGGGCATTGCAAATCCAAATCTCAATGAAATAGCACCTCACACTTGTTAGGATGGTTATTATAAAAGAAAGAAAGAAAGAATGTTGGCCAGGATGTGGTGAAAAGGGAAACCTTATACCCTATTAGATGGGAAGGTTAATTGATATAATTATGGAGGTTCTACCATGTGATCCAGCAATTCCACTTCTGGGTATTTATCTAAAGAATATAAAAACATGAACTAGAAAAGATTTGTACCCATGTTTATTGGTGCATTATTTACTATAGCCAAGATAAGAAAACAACCGAGTTGTTTCAGTGGATAGATGAGGAAATTAATAACACTGTATTGCATGTTCAAAAGTTCTCATCACAAGAAAAAGATTTTGTGACTATGTATGATACTTTACTGTGGTGATCATTTCATGATGTATACAAATATCGAATCATTATATGATAATGAATGACTCAGATCAAAGGTTTAGAATAGATGAGGAAAGAGAGTCACTACAGGGAAAGGGATTGTGAGGAGAGGTTGTTAGTGCTTATGACCTCATCTGAAACATCATTATGGGATTATATCTCTAATCTGAAAGAGATCTTTAGATTCCTTTCCCTAGGAAGTTTCCAGAATCTGCCTGTCGCCAGCTTTTGTGCCTCTCAGCCCTCTCAGTCACGCGGGGCTCGAAATAGTCAATAACCAGGGACACAGCAGAGGGCTGATTTTTACACTTCCATCTTTGTCCAGCCACTGCTTGTCAGGGTGCCATGAGAGACGGCACCACCCCTCAGGGTGCTGCGCCTGGTGGCTTCACCCCGAAAGGTGCCGCTGCCGGTGCAGACTGGGTGTATTATGGAGTCATAACTACTAGCCCACCGTGCTGATTAAAATAATTACTTCAGATTTACAAATGTTTAATGGGTTGTAGCAATTAAAACAGAATTTGTCGTTTTACCCAGTGAATCCACTCCTATCTACCTAAAGGGCACAAAACACTATTTCAAAGGGAAAGCTGCACCCCTGTTTACTGCAGCATTGGTTACCATAGCTGAACTATGGAAACAATCTATGGAACCTGAGCTCCCAAACAAATGATTGGGTCAAGAGGGTGTGGTGCACATTACACACAATGAAATACTACTCAGAGACCAAAAAAGATAAGCTCGGGCCATTCGCAGCAACAAGGATGGAGCTGGAAAGGGTTATGCTCAGTGAAATAAGTCAGAAGGAGAAAGAGAAATACCAGATAGTTTCACATATATGCAGAAAATAGAGAAACCGAACAAAGGGCCAGGAAAAAGGCAAGACTTGCAAGCTGGCCTGAGATCTGAGGTTGGGGAGTGTGAGGAGGAGGTCACACAGGTGTGGGGGGGGAGAGGGCCACACAGGAGAGGGAGCGCACAGGGACATGGAGATGGGTGAAGGGGCTGTAGTGGTGAGAGAAATACAGGGGCCACGCCTTGAGGGAGAGACCAGCCAAGAACTAACAGCAGTGTAAGAAAATTAATTCATCAAGAAAGATATTGAGTCATTTTATACAATCTGTCACTTATGCTTTGCCTCGGTTGTCCCATGGAAGATCGGAATTTTTTTGAGCCTTTTTGTGAACTCTTGTGTGGAGGCCGACTTCGCACAGATGATGCTGAGGGAGCGGTTGTGCTTCTCTTGAAACTCTGACCCAGAGGCAGGTCATCCGGAGTGGCTGAGCCTGCCTGGTTCCCCAAGAACTTGCGAGAGTGAAGGGTGAGGGAGAGCGGCCCTTCCACATGTGCCGGGCTTCCCGGGGTGAGAGGGGAGGTCTGCAAGGACCCACAGGTGAGGAGAGGATGGAGCATTGACTTTTGAAGCGAATTTTCATAAGACCGTTACTTGGGAAGTTCTTTTCTTTCTAGTTTTAGGTTGTGATTGGTGTGACTGTATCATATGGGTCTGTTCCGTGCATTAAATTCTCTCTCCATTCTCTATTTGTGAGAATTAAAAAGATTTGTGAATACTCTTTTGATTTGGGCTTGGGCTTGAAGGGTTACATGTTTCGGTCAGGGGTGCACGCACTGCAGTGAGCCTTAGCCTAATGTGCAGTGAGTAACACTCTTCAATCACTACCAAAGTTATTTGGGGCAAATTAGAATTCTAATCCTTTTAATATTGAAAAATTGCAAGACATGTATTTTCAACTTTCAGATTACAACAGACAACTTGAAGAGACTGGTTAGTATTGAGAATAAAATTAGTAACCTGGAAGAGTGAGTGGGGAAAATAGCTCCATGAGACACAGCGATGCAGAGGAGTTATCACCCAGAAGGGGGACGTCGCTTGTGCCGACCCAGGAAGACTGTGCAAGGAATGAGGTTCCAAGCACAGAAAAAAGGAAGAGGTGAATGAGAGAAAGTAAAGGAACACTAGAGAGAAAGAGAATTGTGTCTGCAGACTAGACGTGTTCACCTGCTTCCACTCTAAATAAACTAAAACCACTGAGTAATCCATTTTAAACAGGTGGATTACAGGTAATGTAAATTGTATCTTAACAAAAATGTTAAAATATTATTACCAAGCATATTTTGCATATAAAAATTTTGACTGCTCAAAGATAAGCAATAAATAATTCAAAAGCGTGGGCACTCTCAGCCAGAGGAAGCTGGGGAGGGAGGCGCCCAGGGAGCGGAGCGCCCTGCCTGGGGTGGACACGCAGTGCAGTGGTGAAGCTGTGAGAGCTCCGTAGCCCCAGCAGCTGCAGCATCTGCAATGGTGAGAGAAATGTAGGGACTACGCCTATGGGAGCAGTATCCCCTTTCACCATGGGGTGCACTTCCACAGACTGCACGTGTCCTAACCTGCCAGAGTCCAGCTCACCTGCTGCTTTACCAGAGCAGAAAACTAGTGCTGTTGATCTAGCAGGGTGATGTTCAGGTGGCCACTGCATATTTTACCTGTTCTCTCTGAGGAACATCTGTGGCCAATTGGAACTTTGTGTTTTGTTTTGTTTTGTTTAATTTTATTTATTATTCATGCATACAGAACTGGATATAAGCCAGAGGTGCAGGGGTGGTGAGAGGAATCCCCAGAGATAGAGTGGGGAGCAGAACAGGCAGATGAATGTAGTACACTGCTGAGGGGAGCAGCTGGCGATCAGGAGAGGTCTGCTGCGCCATGTGGGTCACCTCCAGGGCCGGGGATCAAACTCACACTGAAGTGACTGTGTCTGGCTTGCAGCGCTGCGTCCTAACCCATTGCGTCACCAGGGAAGGCCCGCAGCTGAAACTTTCTAACTTGTCTTTCTCAGTAACCCACTTTTTCTTTCAGGCTTCAATGTTTTTATGGTGTGTTTTCCTGGGGTACAGAAATTTCCAGGGTACAAATAAAAGGATAGCTTAAAATCTCTTTTAATTTAGAATCTTGTATTTCCCCTGCTTCAATTTAGAGCCCTGCTAAGGGGTTAGATGGAATGGAACAAACTGGTAACTTGGGCACGTGTTCTCTATAGTGTAGAGTGAGGTTGCAGGAATAATAAAAACTGAGAATCAGCAACCCACTATTTTTTCAGGCATCTGTAAGGAAAGTGTCACACTGGACACTCTCTTGGGTGAGGTCTGAGCTGTATACGAGATTTCAAGGAGAAAGATGTAAGTTCAC